CTCCTCCCCTCCTCCCATTTCCCTCCCCCATCCCCCTACTGTAGAACCATGGATTGAAATGTAGGCACTCAATTCTACTTCATTGACAAATGTTTATGTTTTTATGCCCAAAACATGTTGATTTTAATTCTGTAGTATAAGTTGAAATTAGTAATGGTGATTCACCAAGCAGTCTTTCAGTTGTTCCAGATTATTCTGATTATACTGGTTTTTTTTTCTGTTTCCATATGAATTTTTATTAGGAAGTGAGACGATAAAAGAAAACTTCAATCCAAAGAAAAAAAGAAAGAAAGAAAGAAAACAAATGTTACACTGTGGAGACAGTGGGTAACAAAAGAGATTCTTCCTGAAGGCAGAGACTTAGCTAGCACATTTCAAGAGTTCACTTGATAGGAGATGAACCAGGCATGGAAGCATGCACCTGTAACCTTACAGTTACAAAGTTCAAAGCTCAAAGTCATCCTACATGGTGAGTCTGAAGTTAGCCTGAGATACATGAGAACCTTTCTAAAACAAATAAAAAACAAAACAAAACAACTCGCAAAAACTAAACAGGATACTAGAGACTGCAGAGGGTCTGTAGGCTAATCCAAAAATTTACTTAACATTCCTTATTTAGCAGGTATTGGGGTGGGGGGAGAAAAAAACCTTGGCCTGATGGGTATTCTTATAATCTCAACACTTGAAAGGTGGTAAGAGAATGATCAAAGAGTTCAAGACAAGCCTCTGTTACACAGTTACTTTGAGGTAAGTCTATTGACATGAGACTTTTATATTGAGGCAAGCCTAGGCTACATGAGACTTTGTCTCAAGAAACAAACAAACAAAGAACAAGAAAAAGGAAGGAGAAGAAGAAGGGAGGGGAAAGAAAAGCTGCTACATTATGGTTAAGCAAAGAACATCAAAATTAAACAGCAAAAGTATTTAACTGAAATTAAAGAAGTAGGGGCCATGGATTTGAGAGAGAGCAGAGGGTTATTTGGGAAGGGTTGAAGGAAGGAAAGGGAAAATGATGTAATTATATTTTAATTAAAAAATAAGAAATACTTGAAAATATTGTCTAGAAGCTTATTCTTCACAAAACCACCCAGCAACAGCCCCAGTTATGATTACGAAGAAGTTGCCTACATTCTCTAGCTAAAGCATGCTTGCTTTCCTTCTTCCAAGTGAATGTGTGTGCCTGTGTGTCACAAGCGCAAGTCTGTGTTAGAGACATGATCTTACATAGCCCAGGCTGGCCATTACCTTGCTATAACCTACTGACAAAGATAACAAACTACTGACCATCCTGCCTCCATATCCAAGTGCTGGCATTACAGATGTGTGCCACTAAACCTAACTCTGAAGCCCATTTGAACACTTTAGGATGATGTAAGGGGTGTTTTTTTTTTTTAACCTAATTGCCTAAAAAAAAAAAAAAAACACAGTAGATCCTCACACTAACTGGTGAATAGCACACACTCATCTAATCCACAGACTGAGTTCAAGTTACGGACCCTTGCTTAAATAAGAGATATAAAGTAGGATCATCAGTTTTGTCAGTCTGACTCAATCTAGAACCACTGGCGTGTCTCAATGAGGGACTGCTAGATTAAATTAGCCAGTGGGAATTGTCTTGGTTTTATTAATTGAGATGGGAAGACCCATCCTCTGTGGGTAACAGTATTCCCTGGGTTTGGGGTCTGGACTGTAAAAAGGTGGAGAAAGTGAGGGGAGCACTGGCTTATATGTGTTAACTCACTGCTCTCTATGGCTGTAATGTGAGTAACTGCTTCAAAGTGGTTGCCTTAAGTTCCTGCTACCCTGACATCTCTGCATGTTCCTATGAGGGACTGTAATATGGTGTGGTGAACTCCCTTAAGGTGTTTTTGTAAGGGTATTTGGTCAGAGCAGCAGGAAGGACAATGAAGACAGATAGATGGTCTTTCTCTTTTCTAGGCACGGGGGCAATGAATGACAAAAGGTATCCCAGAACCCAAAGTTGAGAAAAAGCTCGCAATTGTGGTCAGCCTTTTTCTTAATCTTTGTCTGTCTATGGTGGGAAGAAACATAGCAAATGGAGCATTCGCTTCACAACCCAACTCCATGACTCCCTAGAGCACGTTCCTGGAGTTCAGTGGTAGGAAGGTATGCTTCTTAGCTAATGCAGGGATTGTAGAAAAGAAACACTCTGATTTTCCATGGCATGCACTGGGCACTTGCTGTAGCCAGCAGCAACCCGTTTTTATTGTGAAGAGACTGACTGCAGGAATGTAGATCTGCCTGACTGAAGCCCCAACTCAACCCACCTAAGAGGATTTTTACACTTGCCCAGTCACAAGCCTGCAGTGTTGAACTGGTGGGTATTGATCTTTAGGGTCTGCTAAGGCTTGAGATATAAACCCAATGAATATGCACTTCTCCCGGTAAAGACTCCATGCTGTACTTAAAACTAACTGCAATGATGGAAATGTCCCTAATTAAATATACGCTTTGGGCAAGTCTGATGTTTTTTTTCCCCCCCTGAGAGACAGGATCTCATTATGCAGATCTGGCTGGCCTAGAACTTGCTAAATAAGTAAACCAGGCTGGCTTCAAACTCAGAGATCCACCTGCCATTGCCTCCCTAGTGCTGGGATTAAAGTTGTGTGCCACCATAGTTGGCTCCAGTTCTGATTATTAATTCATATAAACATCTTCACATTTGCTGTGAAAAAATGACTATGCTGTAAAAAAAATAGTGACTTACATATAACTAGAAAAAGTTTAAATATAAGAATTCAAATAATCCGAGAGGGATTTGCCACTCTAATTTTCTAAGATTTTTACTTCAGTTTGCCCATAGCTCCTTCTTGATAGTAGGTCATTTTAAAACTGAAACCACACTTCTGCTCTCGGCTGAGTGACAGAAGCAAGAACCAAGCAGTGGGAATTACATATGCCGTTTAGGGTACAGTATATATACTGAGGCCTAACTATTCTTCGAATTTACGAACAGAACTACAGTATCCCCAAATCTGTGTACTAATATATACCCAATGTGACCACTGACTGTAATCTAAACTATGTTTATTAGGTTTTGCCTGAATTAAGTTTATTGCCAGGAAAGGACACAGGAGTTAGGCAAAACAAAAGCTGCCCACCATATTCAATTTCTATTTTATTGATTTGTACTGATTTCCCTTTAGATTAACTCCATTCTCTCTATCCCTACCTTCCAGTTATTACACGGTTGTGTGCAACTTTATTTTTTATAGAATAAAATTTCATGGCTGCCAGAACTCAATGCTGCAACTTTTAATGTACAGAGAAGAACTGGAAAAGTCAATGAAAAGGGGTCATTTAAAAAGTCACAAGTAAAAAAGACTTGCTTTTTTAACTTTAAGCCTAACTACTTACTGAAGGGATGACTAGGCAGTCAGAAGATTTGGCCCTTTTCTGAGGCAAGTTACTAAAACCTCGATTTCCCTTCTAAAACGTAGATCCAGTGTGCAAAGACAGCATTTGTTAACAAAGCCAAATCCAATTTAACTTTTCCATTGCATTTTCAGCACATAAACAATCCATATCCATCAATGAGCCTTCACTTTTCAGATGGGCTACTTTTTCAGCCAAGTGGCAGGACACCAAAATGGGAAGGAGAAGTCAATGTCATAGAGTATAAATAGCTGTGGCCAGAAACAATATAGCAAAAGAGCCAATAGGAGAAGAGCTCCCCAAATTGCAGTGTAAGTACTCATTCAATGTCTCCCTTCATGAGGGCCTCAGAGAAAACCAGCAACAGCAGACAAAAGATGAAAACAACAAATGGATACAAGATTTCTAATCTTATGTCGAAAAGACTGCCTTACTGTATCTTCTAGGGTTTCTGAGAACCTTTTTAAGCCTCAGCTGGAGCTCAATGAACATTAAGCTGGAGCTTAATATTCATGAAAAGAAACCTTTTAAAATGGGAGACAGCTATAAATACACGCGAGTAAACAGCAGAATAGAAAGACGGGCTGACTTTTTAAAATTATTTGTTTAGATTTAGTATTTCTACAGTTAACCCGAAGGATCACTAATTTCACGCGACTTTAGTTAAAACATTAGAGTTACTATGCTTCAATTGCATGGAGTATACACTTCACTTTTTAAACGTCTGCTGGACGTTTTCCGATTGTTGTCAAGCATTGAAAGTCATTAAGTTTACAAGAGTCTGTGGTGGAACGTGAGCACGCGCGCGCACACACACGTACTCTAAGCATCAGCAGTATAAGCGCAACTGCGGGCATTAGAAAGTTACATAAGAAAAGCAGTGTGCCCTTTGAGAAATCAGTTCAAGCATACAATAATCTAGTAAACTAACTGCATATGCTGCGTGCCGGGCTGGGACACAGGAACTGGGTAAAGAAGCAATGAAAAATAAAGACGCAATGAAATGAGGGCACTTAAGAGCTGAATGATGCAGACAATGCCACCAGAGGCATCTTCTGGCATTCCTTCGGAAGGTGCAAGAATGGGTTGTCTTTAATGAGCCTGAGACCTGGCTAACGGCAAAGCCTAAAACCACCATATCCTGAAACAAATCCCACCAGGTGGGAGAGAAGACTGGAGGAGTCGCTTTAAGTGATTGATCCATTCACTAAAGCTACCCTGGCTGTCACCGGCCTGGGACTCGCGCACTCCCCGGCACTGCCACCTGCTCTCTACTTCCTCGGCAAGAGCAGGGGGCGCGCGGGACCCGGCCCACAGGCTCCCAACGCAGAACTAACGATGCCTATGTGATTCCTAAACCCCCCAGCTCAAGTCCAGGTTCCCCAGGGTCGGTTCCGGGACGGCGCGCGGCCCCACGGTGGAAGGCTGAGAAGTTTCCCTCGGCAGAGCCGGGGCAGGGAGACCCAGGGGGAGGGGGCGGCGCGGGGTCGAGAGGCCCGCGGGGACCACGGGGAGGCGAGCTGGGGGCGGAACCGCGCGGAGCCTCCCAGGGGCCCGGCTCGGGGATGCCCCTGACGGGGAGAGAGGGGCACCCTGGCCGCTACCTGCTGCTGGATCTTCCCGTCCTCCGTGACGACCCAGTGCGTGGTGGCCAAGGCCCCTCGAGCCACCACGCTTAGCAAAGCGGAAAGGCTGAGAAGCCACCCTGGGCCAGAGCGAGGCGGCAGCTCGAACCGGCCGCGGACCCCTATTGCCGCCGCCATCTTGCCCCCCCAGCCGGGTCGCTCACACCGGAAGCGGAAGCTACTCGTCGCCGTCCGCCATCTTGGGGAGGTCGCCTCTGGAGCAGGAGGAGGAGCCCGCAGGGTGTAGCGGGCTCCCCACCGTTCCCTTCAGCGTCGCTTGGGGCAATTGGTCCCGCTATGCCTCGGAGCTGGAAACTGCCTTCAGTTATCCTGTAGGCTATGTGATCTCCAAGCGTGGGAACCAGATAGTGATAGTAGACTAGGTGGAGCTTGAGCAGAAGTGAGAAGACTGGCTGGTGGTTCTTTTTAAAAAGTAAGTATTATTTCCGGCAGTGCAATAAAAGATGTGCTTTCGAACTACCTGAGAGGCATTATTTTTACCAGGTTCGTAATGGAGTGTCAAACGGCCCACTCCTAATGTAATGCGCGTGACGTAAGGAATTAAAAAATCGCTCTAGTTAACTTACCAAATATAAAATAGCAGTTCAAGATCTGCATATATGTCCTGTGTAGATACTTAGTGTCTTTCGAAATTTAGAAAGCGATGTGTACTTACAGATCAGGCACATCTGTTAAGGCCCAGAAGGACCTTGGTGGGCAGCTCCAATCTAAAGGTCTAGGTGTAGAGCCCAGATATTGGCATCTCCAAGGATTGTATTAAATACGCAAGTTTTCAGCACTTGTGGCCTCCCTCCCCCACGCCCTGCTGAGTTTTAAGGAAAGTCTCAGATGACTGATTTGCATATTCAAGTTTGAGGCTTACTACCAATAGGTAGCCGAGTAATGAACTAGCTTAGGTTCCAGTTTCTACCAGCTTATGTTCTTACAGATATTTCACGACTGCCAATAATATGACGTATCATTTTATTATGTCGCTGTTATGCTTTTTTTCTGTTGGGAAAAGGATAAGAATAGTGCCCTGGCACCTCCCTATATAGGTGTTGCAGAAAAACAAACATCTGCCTCATGCTATGAGCACTGGGGCCATGCCATTGTTTAATTCTGACGGCAGGTCGGTTGTTTTTGAAATGGAGTCCCCATATGCAGCCCAAGTTGTCTGAGATTCATTTATTTAGCCCAGGCTGGCCTTGAAGTCCTCCTTTGTCAGCCTCTTGATGCTGGTATTGCTGTCATGAACCATCAGGCCTAGCCCCAAGGGCAGCTTTTCTTAAAGTACTGTAACATTCATTTTACTAAAAAGGTGCAACTTGGGGGTAGAGATGGTTCAGGGCTGAAGAGCATTTCTTCCTATTCCAGAGAACCAATGTTGGACTCACCTGTAACTCCAGCTCTGGGGGAATCCATCTTTATGTATGTGGCACAATTCTCATATACAAACACACATACACCATACACATATCTGCCTTTTGCGCGACAGTGGAGACTGGGCCTATAAACATGAACACTGAGCAATCAGTCAGGATGTTTGACTAGGTAATTAAAATATAGATAATGGGTGTGCGTGTCAAAGAGTGCTACAACCAGGTGAAAAAAGGCTTGGCACAAATGATTCAGGTAAAGTGTGGTAAAGGTGATGCTGGTGTCAAATTGTTAGGGTCTCGTGTGTCATTGAGTTTAATGTAGACAATAAGGAGTATAACTGAGTTTTAAAGTAGTGACACTTTATTTTTAGGTACTGTCATCTACTGTAAAATAAGGTGGCATTTTTTTCTTTACAGTGCTAATGAATGAACCCAGAACCCTGCATACCTAGCCAAACACACTACTAATGAGTTATTTATCTCTAGCCCATCATTTAATAACTTGTGTTTAATACACCTACTTGGCTTCAGAACCCCTAATATCACGTTTTAACTATTAGCAATTTCTTTGGCATTTATCCTTTGGAAAGGAGGCAAAATTAGCTTCTGTGAACTCAATGGATCATCCATTTGTTTTTCATAGATCATAAATAATCCTTGTCCTTTGAGACAAGATAGTGAGAGCTCTCCATGGTTTTCTGTTGTGTAACTAATGTTCACAAACGTAGTTTCTAAGGAAAAAATCTACTGTCTCACACAACTGGTATCAGGGCTACACTCTGAAGCTTGGTGGTAGGGTTGGGTGAGGTGTCCTCTTCGAGCTCATTCAACTTCTTGCAGGTTTTAGTTCTTTGCTGTTATAGGACTGAGGTCAGTTTTCTTGCTGGCTGCTGACAAGCCATTAATATGCAAAACACCCACTATATCTTGCTATGTAACTCTCAACATGGCCATTACTTTTAAGGTCAGCAAGAGAATGTCTTCAGTGTTTGAAATTGACTCACTACATCTCTAGTCTAGATTTAATGAATTTTTGATAAGATTTTCCAAGTGAATAATCTTTTTTACTTAACCCCAAATTAGCTTATTTGTGACTATGACATTTGCAAAAATACCTTTGGCCAAATAACATAGTATTTCAGGAAATTTCACATAGCTACATGTGTCTTCCATAGTCCAGGTGGATCTTCTTAAATCCCAGTCTTTATTAAAGTGTAAAAAAACTGTATATATTTAGTGTACAAGGATGTCTATGAACACCATTCCTGCTTTAGGCATTCTTAATGCAGAGAAGAGTGTTTGCTTATTTCTTCCCAACCTTTACTTATGTTTCCTTTTCTCCAGTTTAAGGTATAGCTCAAATCCTAGTTTGTAAAAACAAAAATGTCAACTTTCTTGCCAGGTCTAAATTTTGTAGCATTAATGATACACCATACTACTTTGTGATATACTTTCTACATTTTGAGCACTGAAACACTTTAGTAATTTCTGTAAAGGTTCTTTTTTTTTTTAAATATTTATTTATTTATTATTATACAATGTTCTGTCTGTATGCCTGCAGGCCAGAAGAGGGCGCCAGACCTCATTACAGATGGTTGTGAGCCACCATGTGGTTGCTGGGAATTGAACTCAGGACCTTTGGAAGAGCAGGCAGTGCTCTTAACCACTGAGCCATCTCTCCAGCCCTCTGTAAAGGTTCTTATGTCTATTCTAGTGAGACACAATACACAGTAAAACTAGGAAAAGAAAATACAATACAGGTAGTCAGCAAAGACAAGCAGAGCGAATAAGGGAAGCTGCCCAGAGCAGATGGCAATATCCTATGTAATACCACATCTGAAAGATCCCAAAGCACTCTGGGTATTGTATTCTAGGTAAAACTGGTATCACTGAGCATAAACATGTACAACATACTTCTCTAGAAAGAACAAGGACACAACCCTTATGAAGGTTTCTGTCCCCAGCTTAGATCAGTTCTTTCTTGGTATGTTCTGAGAAGTACAAGCAGGACTGGAAGAAGTTGGGCTGACTAAGGCCATCTAAGGGGTCTGTCCGAAAATTCTTTGCTTATTTAACCTAGATAAAAATGGGAGGAATTTCTTATGTATTAATATTTATACATATTACATATATAGTCTTCTTGAGTAGCCGTACTTAACTTTTGGCTGGGTTTTTCAATTCCCAAAAGTAGCTTTCCCCACTTAAAGTGAGTAAAATAATTATAAATCTCAACCTAAATGTGCTATTTACTTCTCTTCCCTAATTACGTGAGACAAGCACTTTAAAGGGAGGGCTTATTGTGGTTCCCAGTTGCAGGGGTTTCAGCTCATGCTGGCCCCATAGTGCTGAGAATGTGACAGTGGAGGGTCAATCAGAGGAGAGAAAGTTGACTAGAGACACAATAGACCTGCAGTTTTCTACACCTTCAGTTTCATTCCATTGCAAACTCATGATTCGACCACATCACTGAAGCCTGTATTAGAGACCAAGCCTTCAACACACAAGCCTTTAAGAGACTTTTCATATTCAAACCATGGCTCTAAAATATTGTTTTGAGTTTCTATATCCAGGTAGTCATGTTACTTTTAAAAAATCCTGTTCAATGCACTTATTTTTTTCTTTTCCATTCTACATGCGTTTCTTTCCTTAGAGAAAATATAAAGTGCTAATGGGAGAACTGACAATACCTCACACTGTGAATCAATTCTTAGGTCAGTATGTAACAGTAAATGTATAGTATGTAACAGTAACTGTTAAAAGTTTATTTTTTAAAAAAATTATGCATTTATCTCTGAATGTGGGTATGTACACATGAACACAGATGCTTATTGAGGAGGAACAGGCATAACTGCCTAATGAGAATGCTGGGAACTAAACTGGGGTTCTCTGCAAGAGCAGTCAGGACAGATTTTATGATGATTTCTTAAGAATTTGATGTGGGTTTTTATTAAAATTTTATTATATTTAGTGTGAGTTTGTGGTCGGTAATAGGACAACTTTCACTGAGTTGGTTCTCTCCACCAGCTAGGGGATTGAACTTAAGTTGTCCAGCTTGGAAGGAAGCTCCTTCATTGGCTGGACCAGGTTTTTATTTTAAAGAATAGATCTCTTTAGCTTAGACTTGCTTCAAACTTGTGATCCTCCTGCTTCAGGCTCCCGTCTGCTGGGATTACAGGTGTTTGTCATGGAACCTGGCTGATATTTTTCCATCCTCAAATACTAGAAGAGTCTTACTATGCAGCCTAAACTAGAACTTGTGATTCTCATGCCTCAGCCTCCTGATGGGATTACAGGCAAGGGACCATGTTACAACTCTGCTGACACTGTTTCAACAAAAAGAACCAAATCTTTTTTGGAAGATTGTATTTACTTATAAAAATATAATAAAAACAGATGGCTTGCAAGACTGAATCAAAATTGACCTTGACGACAGAGCACGTTTTTCATCTTTATATTTAAGATCTATCAGCTCACCATTAGCAATCAATAAATGCTAATAATATCCAAGAATCTTATGTTATAATTATAACACTAAGACACAAAACAAAATTACAAAAGGAAATTTATTTCAAAAGCATAAGGGAACATTTACATTTAAACAAGGGGATAAACAGGTGTCTTGAAGAAGAAAAAACGTATTTATGGCATGAAGATTTTCATTCAAATCTCTGAAGCAAAAGAACAGTAAGTTATGCACTATTGCCTAGGCAAGGGAAAGGGAACAAAGGGAGGAGGGAGGAATGCAGTGAGTTCTGCATCAG